GGTCTGCTGAAAGAAAGCCGCTTTCATCAAAAGCAGGAGTCCGTTGGAGCGTCCTGCTCTGTTATATGGCTGAGATGGCAAGCCAATAAGGACTTACAATGGTAACACCGGTTCCGCCCACACGGCCAGCGTGTACTGTTTTTCTAAAAAAGCCTCGACAAACAGTAGTAATTAGACCAGCTTCAGAACCCTTCCAGGAGTGAAAACTCTGCGGGATTGCTTTTTTCCGGGACTTATGGTCAGCTTTTTTTGAAATTGTAATGGTACAAGGATACATGCGTTTTGGCTTCTCCCGCGACTTCTCGAGCCACTGTCCAGGTCGATGTTTTATCCACCGAAACTAGACCGATAACAATGAACTAACCCAAGAGGGATGGAAAACTTGGTCGTCCTGGTCGAGACCAGGATATGACTCTCGGACCAGCACCGCTTTCGTCACATCACCCTGCTCAAAACAGAGGGCAGTGCATGCCTCAGCGCTAACGAGAAACAGTTAAGGTCATCCTTATAAAATGCCAAGGAAAGTTCACGCTGGCCCCATAGGTGGAAACAGTCGACCGTTGTGCTTTTTTTCGGAAGGTGTCTCTCCCTCCGACAGTAAGAAGCGATGAAGAGCGTGGAGTGGGCCACTTGTTTGCCGGTTAACTTCTTATCAAGACTGGGAGCAGGCCTCTTGCTTTTTGTCAGCCACTCAAAGGGCAGGATTAATAGGATTTTCAAGAACTGAAGCTATTTAGGGCCTTACTTCTTGGCTTTAGAAGCCCTACACATTAGCATGCCCTTGATAACGTAATACAGAGAATAGACTGATTCGTTCTATCGTAGGCGCTACCTCTTTTCGCTACCTCTTTTCCTCACCATTGTGCCTTTTCCTCTGATGCGTCCATTTTCTTCCAAGATTGTGGAATGTAGGGTCATGCCTTTTAGGAAGATGGCGTCCAGGGTCCGGGTTCTCCCACGCGACCAACGCAGATTGTTCACATTTTCAAATTCTTCCTTTTAGGGTGTGAAGAGCTGAACCGGCAAAAATACATCCATCGAGATCTTGCTGCACGAAATTGTCTACTAACGGAGAAGGGTCCAAATAGAAGAGTGAAGATTGGTGACTTCGGAATGGCCAGAGATATCTATGAGTTGGTTTTATTTTTTTCAGTCTTTATTGTTACAAATATCCGTCTATCTTTCAGGAATAATTACTACCGTAAAGGTGGGCGCGCCAAACTGCCAGTCAGATGGATGCCTCCAGAGGCGTTTCTCGACGGTTTATTCACAACTCAAACCGATGTTTGGTCATTTGGCAAGTTTTTGTTGGCTTTCAGGGCGTGAGAAAAGCAGAACTACAATTAGGCACAGTCTCAGGGTAGATGACAACTACCAGTGAGATTATATAGCTCCTTTCTAATAAGAATCAAATTAGAATCGTCCCTTCCCCGAGTCATGAGGCGTGAACGCACCCCCCCTACCCTACCTCCCTGAATCATATACTGCTCATGTGTACACTCGAAATCCCTGAGATCGGGTAGGCGTGGCCGCAGTTTCAACTAAACCTGAAGGCGTCTATGCCTCTTGTGAGATACTTACATCTCGACACAACTGTCCTGCCTTTGTCCAACCCAGAACAAGATGACAGTTGTCCCAGACTGGAATATTCCATGAGTAACCAGTTCCGTGCCATGTTCAAATGCCACGCCTACTCTGGCTCAGGGATAAGGAGTGTACTAATGGAAATTCTATCTACTCATCTTTAACCTTTCCTCTGAACATACTGGACTGCCACAGGAACTTCGGTACAAGTCCTCAATCCACGGTTCACGCTGGTTCTACGCGCGGGATCATATACCGTGCCTTCCTCGTTGACGCTTCTTCGCTTATACGGTTCCAGAAGGAAGATACACCGGAAAACCACCAGCTCCTCCCTACGATAGGAGTGGATTGACCTCAAGCTAACCACATAGAAAATGACGTTGTGCTGCAAAGGTGGAAAGGATCAACCACTTAGGGAAAGGACTAACCAGCTATGTTCCACACTCTTCAGGCGTATGTTTGGCCACAGACAGGGAGGATGGGAAGCAAGAAGGTACAATGATAAGCAAGAGAGGTGCTCTGTGGTTCCCTGTCTGCCTGAACTTACCTACAGCCATACCGTCTTTACCAACTCTTACACCGACACCAGGTTCACACCCACACCATCATTCACAACCAGCTACATCCACATTTTTCTTGACACCCATAGCCAAACTAACATCTAGACTAACACCTAGATATCGTTTGTAACATCGCAACGAGTCGGGACGGCGAGCGCAGCGCAGCATGAGCGTGCCGATCGGCCTTCCTCTATCGAGCGGCCTGCGACCGCTGACTGCTACACGACTGATGGGGTGATATCAACCATGCACATGCACATCGTTTTCGCTGCAGACGAGCAGCGAGCCTTTGGGGCTGGATATGGCGCTGCTCGTTCTCCGCCAATTTGTCGAGGCGGCAACTGCTGGAAAATGGGCAGGCCAAATCCAGCCCTTCCCCAGGGTCTGCAGCAAATTGGGCTATTTACCCACGCTTGAACCCTCAACCGGTTCGTATCCACAACTCCTCCCTCGGTATGCACCCACATTCCAACATTCTAATTGAAACACAGTTACACCCTCATTCACGACCACGCACGCAAACACTCACATGCGAACCCGCCTTACGGTCATGATACCTGCGAACGATAGGGCGGCCTTTCCTGCTGATTGTTGAGATTGACATCGTTGTGGCGAAAGGGCGCCCTAGCTGCGCTGCAATCCGGACGTCATACGCCCTATGGTTTGCAGGGATCATGATTGCACTCCCAGAACAGGTGCCCAACTCGATTCGCACCCGCCCACTTACACTTGATACTCTTCTACCTTAAACCATTAAAGCTAATGATGAACATGAAGGGAATGAGACCCTTCGAAGTCATCCCACACTGCCCAGCACTCGCACTTTATCGGTTCTCACCACTTGGTCGCACTCGTAGCGCGAGACACTAATGGAAATCTGGAATAGTCTCGGGACCGTTGTTCAAGAAACAGCACATGCTTGATCATGATGAAGAATTTTCTCAAGAGTTATGTGTCTTATTTACGTGAATGAAGGAACCATCGTGATTATGTGGTAGATTGTTATTTCAGGTGTGGTTCTATGGGAGATCTCCTCGTTCGGTATGCTGCCGTACTTCGGTGTTGACAACTTTGACGTCATGGGATTGGTAACAAAACGCGCGGAAGGAATTGATCTATCCAAACAGTGTACCTTACTGAGGCTGTAGTTTGATTCTTAGAAACGAATCTCAAAGCTGAACTGCGCATCTATATCCCGTGGATTCTGGTTCCTGCCTGTGTGTGGGCGAAAAACGCTAAAGCAGTCTGCAGTAGTTTGCGGGCTTCTCCACTTAGAAACGCGGAACCGGTGTTGGCCGGGCCACTGACCAAACGGGTATCGTCTTCACGCCCGGCCCGCACATCAGCACTGCCAGCCACATGCGTGATCATTGCCAAATGTGCTACTTGTCTGCGCTCTCTACTTCTGGTTGCTTCTTTAAAGCTGAGTGCGTGTTTCGCTGCGGGACCTCTATCTCGACGAAAGTCCTGCACCTTTAGGAAAGCGCGGGCGAAGTTTGAAGAGGGCACATGGGTATTACCCTACAGCCCCGTTCCTTTTGCACTTTCGACCATAGAAAGTGTCATGCTACTGCAGCTGCCGACCCATTTGCCTTGCACGTCGGAAGAAATAACTTCGAGTGTGAGTGTACATCTTGTCCTTAAGGGTTGTATATTTCAGCTGCACGACCTAATGCGAAGCTGCTGGAACACGCGAGCATGAGAGATCGCTCCATCGTCACAGAAATCGTGGAAATGTCGCAGATATCTTACCCAGGTACGGTGCTCAAAAGCCAAAATACTTTTTGATCGGCTGATTGAGCTCATTGTGTTCAGAAACGAGAAATAGCTGACCTGTCAATCGATTGCTTTGCTTCGGTGCCGTCGGCTTTTATGTCGTTTGCGAGTACGCCAACGCCAGCAGTGCCTGCTCTGCCATCGCCTTCAATCGCAGGCACACCCTGTACTGCCGTGACGGCACTCAGTCCTGGCACGCCCGATACCGCAGCAGCAGGTTAGTAATTTTCCTGTATCGTTTACAAGATCCATATTGCGACAGCGCGCAAAGTTGAGCTATTTTGTAGCTGCTCCAGTGGGCTTGTATAATAGTACATTTTGCTCGCTAAATGGTAGCGCGATGACCGCGGCTTCATTCACTTCAACTTCAATGGCCAGCATAAGCCCAAATCGGCCCTAACGCGGGATCTCCCCGCAGCGAACCGCGGTTTTGGCAGTGTCTTTGTCCTTAACGTAAGGACCCATGCAAAACATAAAAATGGCCTTTTGCAGCAACAATGAATGGTATGGAGGGCCTGCAATTGTCGTCTTGTCGGCAGCGCCCGCTGGCACGTTAGGGTGTTGCTACTAAGGTCCGCTTGGCTCCGGCCAGCCTCCGCTCATATCAACTCCATTGCCCACGCCAGAGCAAGCCAAAGACGGCCAATCTGTGTCGCCGTCTTCGGCTTGCTCTGGGGCCAACCAGCGGATTTTTGACTTGTTTTCGCAAACCTCGCCACTCGCGCTAGTCATCTTCGAGCCATCCATTCCGATCCTCTGTACTTCTTTTCCACTGTTGGCCGAACATTTCCAGTAAGGGGTCAGCTCATCTCATTTTTTGCCTCTTTTTCGGTCGTCAATCGCGCAGCATGGCCGGCCCATTCTCGTTTTCTTTTCTCCTTGACCACACCATCCATTCCACTTCGTCTACGAACTTCCACGTTCAGAATATGATTTCGAAGGAACACCTTAAAAATTCTGCGCTCCATTGATCTTTGCGTTGCGACTAGCCTCTTTATCAGCTTTAGTGGTCGACCAAGACTTTGGCATTAATGTCGTCGCCATTCTTTCAGGATTCGGAATCTCAATGAGTGGGGTGCCGTACACCCCCATCAATTCGGATGCACTACGAGAGCTTCATGAAGAGAGGTCTATGAGAAAAGATCTTCTAGCAGCTTTGGATTCAGGTATAGCAGTAATATACAGACTTTCCCGTTAAAGTGGAGTTTCATAGGAGAAGAAGCTTATCGTTTTTTTCGCAGATGGGTGTGTAGGCTGAAGTAGACGGGATTGCTGTGGCTTTCTTCGAACCTCATTTTATGGCGTAATGGGTCGTCCGATTTATCATGTATCGAGCTTTAGAGACGGTGGAATCGGACAAAACTGTACTCTCGGCTGCTGGTCAGCGTCATGCTACTTGCTGAGTTCCATTAGCGAGCTGAATTTTCTGCCCCATTAAGCAACTCCTGAGACGCGGTGATTGCGATGGAATGGCTAGTTTTGTATCCTTAGCACTAAAGCGTGGCGGGGACGGACTACTGCACCTCACTGATGCCTCTCCTTGAAGAGGAGGGCGCGTCAAAGATGGAGACAACTGAGTGTCTATACTCATTTCTCCG